ACGCTGACTCGCACCAACTATGGAGAGTGGTCAGTGACCATGAAGGTCAAGCTCAGAGCCCGACAGCTCTGGAATGCTGTTGACAAGGGCACCGACAGTGAAGAAGATGACATGTCAGCGCTGGAGGCTATCCTCGCTGCTGTACCGACGGAGTACAGGGAGCTGTTGGGGACGAAGAGCTCGGCTAAGGAGGCATGGGAGGCTATTGCGGCGATGCGCATCGATTTTGACCGCGCAAAGAAGGCGACGGCCCAGCTTCTAAAGCATGAGTACGCCAACCTCAAGTTCAGGGATGGTGAAACGGTGGAGGACTTCTCGCTCCGCCTACAGACGCTCATCAGCAAGCTGAAGAGCCACGACGTCACCATCGACGAAGAGGAGGCGGTCTCTAAGTACCTCCACTCCGTGCCGGCAATGTACATCCAGATCACTCTCTCCATAGAGACGATGCTGGACTTGTCCACCCTCACCATTGAGGATGTGACAGGCCATCTGTGGGCGGTGGACGAACGCCTAGAGCAGGCGACAGCAACGAAGGACAGCGGGAAACTCCTGCTGACGGAAGAGGAGTGGGCTGCTCGGAGGAACTCCGGGAAGGCAGCCTCCTCCAGCCGCGGTGGCGATGGCAAGCACCGCGGTAAGGCTTCTTCGAAGAAGAAGCAGGTCGACCCCAACGCCTACTGGCATTGCAGGAAGATGGACCATTGGGCACGGGAGTGCCCAAACCGCAAGCAGGAAAAGAAGGCTCAGGCTCACCTGGAGCAAGCCGATGATGAGGATGAGGCCACTATCCTGATGGCGACGTTCTATGCACTACACAACGTCGAGGCCGAGGAGAGGGAAGAGGCGACGATGATGGAAGGACCTAGGAAGGCCCTGAAGACTGTCAACCTCGACGAACCACGCACCCAAGTTCACCTCGGACGTGTGGACGCCGATCAGGAGCAGCGGTGGTATCTGGACTCTGGTGCCAGTAACCACATGACGGGCTCCAAGGCATCCTTCTCTGAGCTCGACGGCGATGTTATCGGTACGGTGAAGTTTGGTGATGGCTCAAGGGTGGCTATCCAAGGGCGCGGCACCATTATCTTCAGATGCCAAGAACGGGGAGCACCGCGCGCTAATGGATGTATATTACATCCCGTAGCTGTGTTCCAGCATCATCAGCATTGGTCAGCTGGATGAGCGCGGTAGTGAGGTACTGATCAAGGATGGAGTCCTTAGGATCAGGGTCCGGGAGCAGCGACTTCTTGCTAAGGTGAAGAGGTCCCTGAACCGGTTGTACCTGCTCGACCTGAAGGTAGAGCAGCCGGTGTGCCTGGCGGCAAGGCACTCCGAGGAACTGTGGATGTGGCATGCCCGGTTCGGACATCTCAGCTTCGATCTGCTTGGTCGGCTGGAGAAGATGGTCCGAGGGCTACCCCACATCAAGCACGGAGGCGAGCTGTGTGACAGCTGCCTTGCCGGGAAGCAGAGGAGTCTACCTTTCCCAAAGACGGCCAAGTATCGCGCGAAGGATGCTCTCGAGCTCATCCACGGCGACCTCTGTGGGCCGATCACGCCTGCTACATGCGGTGATCGGCGGTACTTCCTCCTACTCATGGACGATTGCAGTCGCTACATGTGGCTGCAACTCCTGACGAGCAAGGATGAAGCGGCGGCAAGAAGCTCCGTGTGCTGAGGACTGATCGTGGCGGTAAATTCACTTCGGTGAAGTTTGCCGCGTACTGCGCGGATCAGGGTGTGGGGCAACACCACACCACGCCGTACTCGCCCCAACAGAATGGCGTGGTGGAGCGACGAAACCAGACGAGGGTCGGCCTGGCCCGATCCATGATGAAGGCCAAAGGCATGCTGGCAAGGTTCTGGGGGGAGGCGATGACCACGGTGGTGTTCATCCTCAATCGCGCTCCGACCAAGGCCCTGACGGGCAAGACGTCGTTCGAAGCTTGGTATGGGCGCAAGCCGAGCGTGTCCTTCCTCCGGACATTCGGTTGCATCGGCCACATCAGGAAGACGAAGCCGAACCTCACCAAGCTAGAGGATAGGAGCACACCCATGGTGTTCCTGGGCTACGTGGAGGGTACCAAGGCATACTGGTTCTATGACCCACGTGGAGACAAGGTGCTTGTCTCGCGTGATGTCGTGTTCGACGAGGAGGCGGCTAGGGACTGAAGCAGTCCGAGCACGGGGGAAGCTGGCAGCTTCACCAGCACCTTTGTCGTCGAGCACTTGGTCATCCACGGTGGTGGAGACGTTGGGGAATAGGTGCCGAGCACTCCGGCGGTAGAGCCGAGCACTCCTAAGGCAGTGCCGAGCACTTCGGGAGGGATGTCGAGCACTCCGAGAGGAGTGCTGAGCACTTCTGGAGGGATGCCGAGCACGCTAGGAATGGTGCCGGGAGGTTCTGCAGTGGTGGCGACCACTCCAGGACGGATGCTGAGCATTCCCGTGGTGGAGCCAAGACGTCTTACAGTGGTGTCGACCACTCCAAGACTGAGGCAGGACACTCCTACAGTGTGGCCAAACACTGCAGGAGTTATGACGAGCTGTCCAAAAGTAGTGCCGAGCACTCAAGGTGCTATTCCAAGTACTCCGGCGGAACAGGGAACTCCATCGACGCCGATCGAGTTCGCCTCACCTCCTGGTGACATCACTGAGTTTGTGGATGCCTTCCACGAAGGTGAGGAGCGGTTTCGCGGGCTAGATGACATCGTTGGCGGCACAGGTCCCTCAGGTCTGGCGGGTAGGCTGCTCAACGATGCAGAGCTGCTACTCGTCAGTGCAAATGAACCACCCACGTTTGTGCTAGCCGAGCGCGATGGAAACTAGCGACGGGCGATGCTGGAGGAGATGAAGGCGATCGAGGAAAACAAGACTTGGCAGTTCATCGATCCAACTCCAGGATGCCATCCGATCAGCCTGAAGTGGGTGTACAAGGTCAAAAGGGACGAGCTCGGTGCCATTGTCAAGCAGAAGGCGCGCCTCGTCGCCCGAGGCTTTGTTCAGTGCGAGGGCATCGACTTTGAGGAGGTCTTTGCACCAGTAGCGCGCATGGAGTCGGTTCGTTTGCTACTAGCCTTGGCAGCAACAAAGGACTGGCGCATCCATCACTTGGACGTTAAATCGGCCTTCCTCAACGGTGAACTGGCGGAAACGGTCTTTGTCAGGCAACCTCCAGGGTTCGCCGTCAAGGGAGAGGAGCACAGAGTGCACCGACTACGCAAGGCGCTCTATGGGCTACGGCAGGCCCCTCGAGCATGGAACGCCAAACTTGACGCCATGCTGGGCAAGCTTGGGTTTCAACGGTGCGCAACCGAGCACGCGCTCTACACGCGGCGATGGGGGAAGGAGGAGCTCATCGTCGGCATGTATGTGGATGACTTAATCATCACCGACGCGCGAACGGAGGATATCAACAGCTTTAAGTGCGAGATGGTGGCTCATTTTCAAATGAGCGATCTCGGCGCACTCTCCTACTACATCGGCATCGAGGTGAGATAGGGGAAGGAGGAACTCACGCTTGGTCAGAGCGCGTATGCCTCCAAGCTGTTGGAGAGGAGCGGCATGGCTGAGTGCAAGCCATGTGCGACTCCGATGGAGGAGCGGCTGAAGCTGACGAAGGCCAATACCACAGCGAAGGTGGATGCGACACTCTACCGGAGTATCGTCGGCGGTCTACGCTACCTAGTCCACACGAGGCCAGACATTGCGTTCGTCGTGGGCTACGTCAGTCGCTTCATGGAAGATCCCAGAGAGGATCACTGGGCTACGGTGAAGCGGCTACTGCGCTACGTCAAGGGGACGGTAGATCATGGGATCATCTTCCCAAAGACCAGCGAGAGTAGGCTGCAGCTCACTGTGTTCAGCGATGCAGACATGGCAGGGGACATCGATGGACGATAGAGCACCTCTGGGGTGCTCGTATTCCTCGGGTCGGCCCCAATTTCATGGCTGTCGCTGAAACAGAAGGTGGTGGCGCTATCTACGTGCAAGGCAGAGTACGTAGCGGCGGCCACAGCGGCGTGCCAAGTTGTGTGGCTACGCCGGCTGCTGGGCGAGCTGACCGGCGTGGAAGCTCACCCACCAGCACTGATGGTGGACAACCAGCCTGCCATCGCCCTCGCGAAGAATCCGGTTCTGCACGACCGGAGTAAACACATCGATGTGAAGTTCCACTTCATCAGGGACTGTGTCGATGGAGGGCAGATCATCATCGAGTTTGTCGAAATTGGTCGGCAACTCGCGGACGTCCTCACCAAGCCGCTCGACGTCTTCGACTCACGGAGCTGAAGGAGATGATCGGCATGGAGGGGGTACAAGGGTTAGCAGTAGGATTAGAGGAAGATTGTTAGATAATCTACTGCTATCTTGTGTGAACACAACAAGGGAATGCGGCGCCGAAAGACTCCCTGCTATGATACTGTAGCCGCTGCAGGTTTAGGCGCCGCATGGCTCATCTGCAGCACTGTAGGCATATGCAGTGGTCGGCGCAGAGTCAGCCCTGTATATTATCTAGTCACTGTTGCAGCAGGGCAGCTGTACTGGGACTAGATGGATAGAGTTGTATAAATAGACTACCACGATAACTCAGTAAAGAGAGCTCAGATTTGCCATCTCACAGACAGAGCTTCGGCCAACGCTGTTGTCTTGTATTGTGCGTGCATGCTCTGTTCTCCCTTCTTCTTCTAGCTCTAGCCATAGTGTGTGGGGACGGACAACGCTCGTTCGTGATCGGCACGGCTAGTGCTCGGCAACACTAGCAGGTGCTCGGCAAGACCGGCGAGTGGTTCACTCGCCTGAGCCGGTGATCCTGTAGGTCAACACGCCGTGCGCACACTCCTGTAAACCACACGAAATCTTGTGGGCTCCTATTCTCTTTATGGTATCAATTAGCGCAGAGAGATCCTACCTCCGCTGCTCGCTACCTTCCTCCTCCGCCTCCCACCGTCGCGCGCTGCCGCGCCATCCTCTCCGCTGCTCGCCGTTCCTTCTCTGCCATGGCGGACATGGAGGACAATCCTCTCTTCGGAGTCAGCCTTTCCAGCATCGCCTCTTCCTCCTCCGATTCCTCCTCTCTGAGCGATGATGTTCCTCCTGTGGAACCGCCCTCCACTACCGTCCTCCAAACCGTGAACATCAAGTCTCATGTTCCGGTGATCCTTGAACTCGCCGATCCCAACTATGATGAGTGGCGATGCTTCTTTGATGCCCTCATTGGCAAGTTTGGCCTTGCTTCCCACCTCTCCTCCCCACCAACGCCTGAACAGCGCCGTGATCCGGCCTGGTGCATCCGGGATCAGTGCATTTTGAGCTGGCTCTACAACTCCATCGCCCGCGACGTGCGTGCTATTGTGCGCGTTCCGAAGGCCACGACGTATGTCGTGTGGACTGCTATTCATGATCAGTTCTGCGACAACGAACTTCACCGTGCTGTGTATCTCGAGGCGGAATTCCGGAACCTTGTCCAAGGCGACATGACCATTACTCAGTATATCGGCAAACTGAAGCATCTCGCCGACGCCCTCCGCGATGTTGGCCAGCCTGTGCACGGGACCAGTCAGGTCTTGAACATGCTTCGTGGCCTAAGCTCCAAGTATCGTGACATCGTGCCGGTGATCGCGGCGAAACAACCACCGCACACGTTTCTATCGGCGCGTTCTTATCTGCTTTTGGAGGAGCAGTATGACAAGGAGCAGGCCAAGACAGCTGCGCATCAAGCTCTTCTCACCACTGGCGGCCCTCGTCTACCAGTTCCTGCCGCTGCCGATGGCGGTTCTGGTTCTGGGACTGGTGCACAATCTCCAGCTCCGCACCCCTCGGCGGTTCCAGCTCGTACTGATGGGAAGCGGGGACGTGGTCGTGGTCGTGGCCGCGGCGATTACCAGCACTAGGGCGGATCCAGTTCGTCTCCTCGTCCTTCTACTGCCTAGACTCCGGGCCAGTATCCCTGGACGGGCATGGTGCAGGCGTGGCAGATACCGTTCAGAGTTTCTGGCGCTGGCGTTCTGGGTCCTCGTCCCGGCGGCCCTCCACCCCAGCAGGCGTACTACGCGGGCGCGCCGCCTCAGTTCAACCCTGGCCCACTCCCACCGCCGCCTCCAACGTCGGACGTCTGGAACAATCAGGCGCTTCTCGCCACGCTCACCACATCTGGTGTTCCACCCAGCGGACCACAGGCTGCTGAGTGGTTCCTCGACACGGGCGCGACGTCGCACATGGCATCAAACGCCGGTAACTTCCCCTCTTCCCAACCTCTCCCCAATTCAGCTCCTATCACTGTTGGCAATGGCGATCTCCTCCCTGTTACTCATATTGCATCTACTGCTATTGCCACTAATCGTTCCCCTCTTCTTCTGAATCAAATTCTGGTTTCTCCTTCTTTGGTCAAGAATTTGATTTCTGTACGTTCTCTTACTCGCGAAAACAATGTGACTGTCGAGTTTGACCCATTCGGTTTTTCCATCAAGGACATTCCGACTCGCACGGTGCTCCTCCGATGTAACAGTGCCGGCGACTTGTACCCTCTGACGTCTTCATCACCTTCGGCACATGTTGCTACGGCACCGTCGGTCGATCTGTGGCACCTGCGATTGGGGCACCCAGGCCGTCACTCTCTTCGTTAGACTTTACCTTCCTTAGATTTCAGTTGTTCAGAGTCTTTATCACATTCGTGTCAGGCATGTCAACTTGGTAAACATGTTAGGCTTCCGTTTTCATCCTCAAATTCTATCAGCTATGTACCTTTTCAGATTGTTCACGCTGATGTTTGGACATCTCCTGTTCCTAGTTGTTTAGGTTCAAATATTACCTTGTTTTGATTGATGATCTGACTCATTATGTGTGGACGTTTCCTTTGCGCTGCAAATCTGATGTTTTCGCCTGTTTTCAGTACTTTCATGCTTATGTTACAACCCAATTACAGCTGCCTCTCATCTCTTTCCAAACTAATAATGGAAACGATCACCACGCCATGCATACACATCTTGCTGCCCATGGCATTGCTTTGCGTCTTTCATGTCCCTATACGTCATCTCAAAACGGCAAAGCTGAGCGCATCATCGGCATGATAAATGACTGTGTCCGCAGTCTGCTTATTCACGCCGGCATGCCGTCGTCATTCTGGGTTGAGGCTCTTTCTACTGCCACTCATTTGATCCATCGACGGCCCTATCAAGCAAGTGGCCAGCTCACTCCCTTCCAACTACTGCTCGGTGCACCTCCTGGTTATGATCATTTGCGTGTGTTTGGTTGCCTCTGTTTCCCTAGCCAATCAGCCACTACACCAAATAAACTGAGTGCCCGGTCCAGTGCGTGTGTCCTCCTTGGTTATCCATCTGACCATCGTGGTTACCATTGTTTTGATATCGCCACCCGACGAGTAATCACCTCCCGCCATGTCACATTTGATGAAACTCAATTTCCCTTTTCGAAATGCACTGTCTGTTTCTCCTTCTTCTGAATTTTCTGAATCAGCAGTTACTGTTCATCACGGACAACAGAGGTTGCCTTCCTTCCGGCGCATAATATGCCACATCCAACGCCTTCCTCGTCCAACTCTGGTTCGTTCATGACTCCACCAGGGTCTGTTCAGTCACTTGTTCAACCAACGCCATAGTCTTCCATTGCTGGCTCTGGAACGCACACTGCTCTGCATCCTGGTCCCGCATCATCCAGTGCGACGCTGTCGTCTGGAAATCCACCTCCTACTGTGTCGGCACATCCGATGCTCACCCGGGCGCGGGTTGGTGTTTTCAAACCAAATCCGCGCTACGCGCTTACCTCTACCTCTATGTCTTCAGACGTTTCTGTTCCAGGCGCGATCTCCCCATTGCCTAAGTCTGTACGTGTCGCTCTACGCGACCCGAACTGGCATGCAGCTATGGACCACGAATTCCATGCTCTCCAGGCAAATCGGACATGACGTCTCGTTGATCGTCCACCCGGAGCTCATATCATCACTGGCAAATGGGTCATTACTCATAAACTCAAACCGGATGGCTCCCTGGATCGCTATAAGGCGCGGTGGGTTGTTCGGGGTTTTACCCAGCGCGCTGGCATTGACTTTGGGGAAACTTTCACACCCGGTGTCAAGCCTGCGACCATTCACACTGTGCTCACTATCGCTGCATCCCGCAACTGGCCAACTCGACAGCTTGATGATTCTAATGCCTTCCTCCATGGTCATTTGCAGGAGCACGTTGTTTGTCAACAACCAACTGGGTTTGCTGATCCAACGCGCCCAAATGCAGTTTGCCTCCTTGACAAATCTCTATATGGTCTTTGTCAGGCACCATGTTCGTGGTTTGATCGGTTTGCCAAGTTTGCCATCAGCCTCGATTTTAAGCCGACGAGGTCTGATTCCTCGCTATTTGCTCTTCAGTGCGGCACTGATACTGCTTACCTCCTATTGTACATTGATGATATGGTGCTTACCGGTTCTAGCTCGGCTCTTCTTCAACGCATCATTGATTGCCTCCGTCTTGAGTTTGCGATCAAAGATCTCGACCCTCTGCGGTTCTTCCTTGGCATTGATGTCCAAAGAACACCAGCTGGATTCTACTTGTCCCAAAAGCGCTATGCCGATGACATTCTTGAGCGAGCAGGAATGACAAACTGCAATCCAACTTCTACCCCAGTTGATGCTAAAGGAAAGTGGTCCGCTGACGGCGACAAGATTGCTGATGCCAAGCAGTATCGAAGTCTCACCGGCGCACTTCAATATCTTACTATCATGCGCTCTGACTTGACATTTGTAGTGCAGCAGCTCTGCTTGCACATGCACGACCCGCGTATTCCTCATCAAGCTCTTCTGAAGCAGGTGCTTCGGTATGTCCTCGGCACGAGCGACATGGGCATCAATCTCTATTCCAGCACTGACCTTGCCATCACGGCATATTCGGACGAAGATTGGACAGGGTGCCTCGACACCAGGCGGTCAACCTCGGGGTTCTGTGTGTTCCTGGGCGACTCGCTTGTGTCCTAGTCGACAGCCCACAGTGTCAAGATCAAGCGCCGAAGCTGAGTACCACGGCGTAGCCATTGCTTCAGCTGAGTGCATCTGGCTACGACAGCTACTTGGTGAGCTTCACTGCGGCGTTCACAAGGCTACTGTTGCATATTGTGATAATGTCTCTGCGGTGTATATGTCTACTAACCCGGTCCACCACAAACGGACCAAACACATTGAGCTGGACATTCATTTTGTTCGTGAGCGTGTCCAGCTCGGTGATCTTCGTGTTCTTCATGTTCCCACCAGTGAATAGTATGCGGACGTGATGACAAAAGGACTGCCTACATCAACGCTCATAGTTTTTCGATCCAGTCCCGTGTGTCGAGCGGCCGACTCATCGACTAGGGGGGGTGATGAAGTATTGTATACTACCGGTTTAGTCTATAGCAGCAGTTAGAGTTAGCGTGAGACGTGTGGTGGCCTAGGCGTCACCCGATCTCATAAAGTCCGTGCGCACACTCCTGTAAACCATGTATATGTAAACACTGCAGAGCAACACAAAATCTTGTGGGCTCCTATTCTCTTACGATGTATGCAGCAGCGATCCTAAATCACGGGAGAGCTTGTCGGCGGTGTCACTCCGGAGTGTCAAAGGGCGGCAATCATCCATACCGCGTGTTCGAGAAAGGTTGAGGGCGATCGCTCGCCGTTGGAGGAAGAAGCCATCATCGGTGCGCTAAACCTAGATGTCGAGGAAGTAGTGGACCGGGCCTATGTCCTTGACGGCGAACTCAGCATTGATGGTGCTGATGACGCAATGTAGAATGTCGTTGGATGATGCCATGAGCAAGATGTCATCGATGTAGAGAAGGAGGTACATAGATTATGTGCCACGGTGAAGGACGAAGAGGGAGCTATCGGATTGAGTGGGCTTGAACCCCCATCGAGCCGAGGAACATCACGAGGCGCACGTACCATGCTCTGGGCACCTGTTTCAAGCCATAGAGGCTTTTGGAGAGGCGACACACTGAGTCCGGATGCGACGCGTCGATGAAGCCGGCTGGTTGTCGCGCGTAGACCTGTTCGTCAAGCACGCCATGAAGGAAGGCGTTGTTGACGTCGAGTTGATGGATAGGCCAGTGGCGCTTGGTAGCCAGGGTGAGAACCATGCGCACCGTCACGGGTTTAACAACGGGACAGTATGTCTCGCCGTAGTCGACACCTGCGCGCTGCGTGAAGCCGCGAACCATCCATCGTGCCTTGTACCAATCGAAGTTGCCGTCTTCCTTGAAAAAAAACCATTTGCCACTGATGACGTGGGCGCTAGGAGATCGAGGAACGAGCTCCCACGTGTCGTTGGCAAGTAGGGCATCAAATTTGGACTACATAGCATTACGCCAGTGAGGGTCTTTGAGAGCCTGATTCACCATGCGTGAGATCAGGGAGATCGGCAGTGTTGGTGTAGTGCCGGTGGTCATCATAGTTGTAGTGCCGACATAGTGGGGGTTTGGTTTGAAGGTCCCCACACGTGCCCTGGTCACCATTGGGTGCGTGGCACGGGCGTCCGCGTCGGCTACCGTAGATGTCGATGTTGATGTGGTCGTTCCTGGCGGCGGGGATGCAGGAGGGGTTACCATCCATGTAGTCGAGGGAGACCGAGTCGTCCAAGCCGTGGGCGTTGGCTGTGGGGAGCCACAGATAAATGCGGGTCCACATTGTGCGCATGGTTTGGGTTGGACACGTGGCGAGCACGGAGGTTGATCCGAAGTTGGCGGCGACAATACATCGTCAGTGGAGATCAGATCCGAGCGCCATGGATCATAGGCGCAGGAGGTTGGGACATCGTCGTGGGTCCGGATCAGAAGGGGAAGATGGTCTTGTCGAAGTGGGCGTGGTTCTAGGTCAGGACTTTCTGCGTCGTCAAGTTGTAGCACTGATAGC